GTTTCCAGTGAATGTTAATTTTGCTGGAGCATTCAAGTAAGGTATAGAATGTTTATATTCTTGGCTAATATCTACCAGTTGAAGCCCATGTCTTAAAAGTACATGCCATATTTACAATCTTACCTATGCCCCTCAGGGTTTCAATTTTAAATACAAGAGAACTGAGTAAGTGGAAATACTTTGTATATCAAATACAAGTTTTCTGTGTGGCAGAATATGCACTGACTATGTTCAAGTTCATATCAATAAAATTATATGAACACTTAGACTTTTTAAATTTTATTTTCAGGACCAATATGTCGACAGCAATTTGCTAAACACAGTGGAAACTAAATGGTACGAGCACACAAAGTGATTATAGTGATGCATGAAGGAAGGCTTATAAATGTGAATAAGCAATAAGAAACAAAGAACAATGCTCCACACAGACACATGGAATTTCCTGTTTGATTTATTTTTCGCTCCTATCAGAATTACTAAAGGGTCATGTTTCAGTATTTTTTTATGTTTCTGGACTCCTTTGTTATGACTGTTCAAAAATCAAAATCACTTATTGATCAGAATTCATTCTATTTCATTAGAAAAATCTAAATATATATGTATCATGATTATAAGACCGATGTATATAACCAATATGGTAAGATGTTAACGGACATTGGTGAATATAACATTGAAGTAGACAAAAGTAACAAGCTCTCTTTCAAGTGTGTCACCCTCTGTATACACAAAAATGCTATTACTATGAGGAAATAGTGTGGTGAGAACAGACAGGAAATTATGCACTCAGGCTAAGAGAATGAAATTCTGTTTTTCTTGAGCATTTGTTAACAACATGTTGAAGGCCAATGCATTAAGAAATCAAATTTCTAATTCTTCTTGTTCGATTCAATACTTGTTCCAACTGTTTGGAAAGATTGGATTCATAGCATAAAGAGCCACATACTGGTTCTCAGCACCCACGGAAAACAGCTCACAACTGCCTGACACTTATGCTCTAGGAAATTCAGGTGTTTTTTTGCTCCAAAGTTACTGCAATTTGGTGAGCATATCCTGCACACACACACACACACACACACACACACACACACACACACACACATACACATACACACACACTCACACATGCACAAGCGTATTTAAAAAACTTTAATGGTAGATACTATGTTTAAAATTATACTTTGTTTTATAGAATTTTTCTATTTACCCCTTGTTTGCTTAAATTTTGATTGCATTCATAAATTTTTATTATGAGTATAGAATATTCCTCTCTTTTTTCTTGTGATATATGCTAGCAGAGACCTTTAGTGTTTGCACAAATAAGACACAGAACTGTGTAGTTCTCTTCCTTTACATAAAAAATATTGGCAAATTTGTGTATACACTTTTAAATTCCTACTATCTGTCTTCCTAATTTGGCTTTTATCTCTATAACAGGAGGTTTTATTAAAATTTCTTCATCAATCTATCTTGGCTTATTTCAAGTTTAGAGACATGGAACAGTTCTAATTTTAATCCCCATTTTACTTGTTATTTCCTTCCAATACCATCCCCATCTTTACAGTATCTATTACCTTAGTCAAACGTGGGCTATATTTTCAGACACTGGGCTTTCAAGAGATTCCTTATATGCTCCTGTCTCTCACATCTGAATCATTCATCAATAACTCTCCTATAACTCTCTCTATAAACACCTATTCAAATATGCACATATCTTTTCCGCTTCACAAATATAGTATTTGAAAAGCATAATTATGTATTCCACCAAACCATATTTTTATACATTTACCTGTTTTAATGACCAGTAGAATTAGCAACACAGTCACTCATTTCAGGAATCATGAGTATCACATCTTTTTCCTCTCACACACTCATCTTGCATGCATTATGCTACTGTTTGACCACACAAATAGCCTTTTTAATTCCACCTATTTCCTCCTATCCCAGCTTGCACAGTCTTATCCAATTATCATCTTTCTCTGAACATACAAGTCTCCCTACATACATTGCTATTTCTAGCCAATAATTCCACACGTCACATCAGTACTGCCTTTAAACACAAAATGGTTCCTCTCTTATAGCCTCATTAGCATTGTGAAAATGACTCATTTCATTTTACAGGAAAGGGGGGAGATGCTATTTTGACCCACAAGCAATATATCTGCATTTAGTTATTGCTTTCTAAATATCTAGTCTGAGCTTAAGACAGTTGAGGTTTTCATAAATATTTATCATTGTTTGATGAACATTGTAATATGTCTGAGTGAAATGAATTCTTTGGTAGTATCTCTGTAGTTACATGGAAAATATTAGTTAGTGCAGAAACATGGAATCCAAAATTATTTCAAACAACAGTTCACGCAGGACAGATAAATGAGGGGTGATGATGAAGAGGAACAGACGTGTATCCTCTCCAGGGAGTGAGAATCATGAAAAGAATGCACAGTTCACACTATGACGTGATTTTTTGTGGAGAGTGAGAAAGGACAGCAACGAGTATGTAACCAGAAGAGCCACTTTGTAGTATTTGTGCTTGCCAAAAAAGGATTTTCTCAGAGCAATTTTCATCCTGTTCTATAATGATATTACAGAACACCTCTGAGGCGAACTATTTAGATGCCCAAGGAATGGGCAAAACGAAAAAAGACTTTAGTTTACCTTATGACTTGGAAGACATATCAAGTGGCTTCCTGCTGAGAGTAAAATTGACTTTGAAGTTCCAATACACGTGTGGACATGTAAGAATATCTAACATTGCCCATTAAAATGGATGACGTGCTAGTATAAATCCTGGAAAGAATGTCAAAAATGCCTGACGTTTTGGGTAATCTTAAGAAATAATCTTCTATTAGTAGAACATATATCATATAAAGCTACTATATGTATACTATGTATGTCAATAAAGAAATAACACCTAATATCAGTTATAAACTATGATATTACCTCTAATTCTCTGGGAGGTTTGAGAGTGTTCATAAGTATAACAACTGCATTTTTATTTTTGAGCCATAGGTCACAATTGCTTAGTGAAAATAAAAGTTAGGGCAACACAGATTTTTCAGCTTTACCCAAGTTATGTTTTTTGTTTGTTTTTTTTTTTGACATGTGAAGGTGTGGCTATCCTAATAAAATTTAGGGAACAGTGTTTGTTTGTTTTGATTTTCAGTTACTGATCTTCCTGGTATCCTGGTTAGTTTTGTCCTAAACCTGAGAAGAAAGAAACTAAACTGAGGATTTCCTCCCATCAGATTGTTATGTGACCATGTCTGAAGGATTCTCTTAGCCAAATGTACAGGCTGGAAGTTAGGTAGGTGGTTCCATTACCAAGAAAGTGATTCTGAGCTTTATAAGATGAGTAGCTGACCATAAGCCTAGCATCCATCCAACCATTCTCCCATGTCTTTGCTTCAGTTCCTGACATATCTGTCTTTGTTGATGGACTGTAACTTCTAAGGCAAGTAAACTTTTTTTTTTGCCCCAAGTTGCTTTTTTGGAGTGTTTCATTGTAGCAATAAATCAACAAATCTGAATACCTGACCATAACACAAATTTAGCATAAAGTCAGATAAACTAAAATTACTTAGAAACAAACCCACAAGCAGCCTCACCAGAGATATGCTCTATTCCTCAATTTCATTTTTTTGTTGTTGAAAAGGTTTTACATACTTGGTATATTTTATTTTTCAAAACAAAAGATTTAGAAATAGACCACAAAGATTATTCCCATTATGTCAAACAATGGGTAGGTGAAATTCATTTTTCCTGTTTTTTACAAAGTAACATTCAACTCATTTACTTCCCATTCAGATATTTCATACTTTAAATATTTTTTCATAATCACCAAACAGCAATACTTTGGAGTTTCTTCTGTAGTTATATAGCTTCTAAAATACAAAATTACAGAAGACAGCTATACGTTTAAATTTAAAAAGTCATTATTTTAAGAGTATATAATGAAGTTAGAATTTTATAAACATTTGCTACAACATAAAATTAATTATGCATATTTACAAACCTTATTGTTATTTTGTGTGTTTTGTGTGCGCAAGTGTGTTCCTGCATGGGTGTGCCAGTGTGTGTGAATATGTTGTGGCTCAGGAGTTCAGATTGGAAGAAAAGTCTGTGAAATATTTTCTTTTTCTCATGTCTACATAGGTTCTGCGGATCAAATTTACACTGTCAGGCTTGAGCACCAAGTGCCTATACCAAATGAGCAGTCAGTCTTGCCACCTGTAATTACCTATGTTGTATGGATTTATCCAAATTTTAAATTAGTAAAATATAGCCCCCTTTCATAAAATTGATTTTGCTATCCTCTTCATCATCCATATCTGAACACAATATTCTCAGGTGAACTTTGTTTCACATTGCAAAGTTCTTGCACTGCTTGCTTTGGAATGACATTATCGGTGGGGTTTGGAGACTCTGCATAGATCACATATAAGACAATATTGCCAGTAGAGCACCTGGAACATTACGGCAATATTTTACTGTGTCCCAATTTCACTTGGCCCTTCTCTAAACAAGGACGTTTAATGATGTCTCAATTCCATAGTTATTACATAATTTTATTTTCAGCATAATCAAGTTCGTGAGTTCATCATTGTTGACATAAAATGTGTTAAACTTATTAGACAGATGACCAATTTAGAATGTTTGAAATCTCTTCTTTTAGCTAAGATTGTTTTCAATATACCTTTGTATCTTATGCTGATTTATGAGTTTTATTGATTGTTGAATGCCATGATGGATTTTATTTATAGGAGCTATCCATCTTAAAAATAGTTAATAGTTCAATGTCACCAGTTCCTTGATATAGACTTATACATTTTCTGTACAGATATTACAAACAAGTATAACAGAGGAATGTAGATATTTAAATTCATAGGTACTAAGGCTGAAAAGATGGCTTCGTGGTTATGAGTACTTGTTTTTCTTAGATAAGACCAGGATTTAGCTCTCTACATCTAACAGCTCATGAACATCTGTAACTTTTGTTCCAGGGATATACAACAACACCCTCTTCTTCTCATTCTCCAGGTACCAGTCAGGTATGTGATGCACATAAATACATGCAGGAAAATACTCATACACATAAAATAAAAATAAAAATCTTAAGTTAAAATCTTCCAAATGTTTTTCAGGTTTAAAACCTCAGGGGAGACAAATAGCACCTTTGTAAATGTACTATTTTAACTGTTTTTGAGGAACCAAAATTAGAATACCAATTTATTTTACACAGTCAAATGTATTTTTCATATGCTTTTCCAAATGATGTTAACAGCAAGGAAAATGTTTATGGTGACATCAAAAACATTTTTAGATTGCTTATATAAGTCAATAGATACCCTGCTGCTTAATATACCATATTAGAGAATGTACACCACTGTGGTTATACAAAAATGTCAAGGACAGAATAGTCACATTATTCTGCACTTGTACAAAATGAGGCAGGGCTTCCCGAGGTATGCCACAGAGGCATGTAAGTACTGTCCTGCAGATGCAATGTCAGTCAAGTACAGGAGTGAAAACATACATGCATTTCAAAGCACTTCAAATAGATGGTTTCATGCTGGGTATTGTTTATACTTTTAGAATCCAAGGAAATCACTCCAAACACTACTTAGAATATATGCACTATTGTCGTGATTTGAATAAGGCAGGCCCCCATAGGTACTCATATTTGAATGGCTGTTTCCCAGTTGGTGGTGGTTTAGGAATAATTATGATGTTTTGTCTTGGAGAAGGTGAATCAATGGGGTTGGGTTTGAGGTTTCAAAAGCCAACACCAGGCCCAAATTCACATTTTCCACTTTCATCTAGTGGATAAGATTTAGACATATTCTCCAATAACATACCTACAATGATGTTCACCATGATAATCATGGACTAAACCTCCAAAACTCCAAGCAAACCTCCAATTAAATACTTTATTTTATATGTTGTCTTGGTAATGATATTTACTCACATTAATAGAATAGTAAGACAAGGTTTTTTTTTTGGTTTTTTGAGACAAGGTTTCTCTGTGGCTTTGGAGGCTGTCCTGGAACTAACTCTTCTAGACCAGGCTGGTCTCAAACTCACAGAGATCTGCCTGTCTCTGCCCCCTGAGTGCTGAGATTAAAGGTGTGCGCCACCATCTCCTGGCTGTAAGACAAGATTTTAATAGATAAGAAAGAAAAAAGTTTAATGTCTACAATGTGATGAACACTGTTATGATCAAGTAATATACAGGGGAGAATTTTTCCAAAAGTTCGATGTATTCTTTTTTTCCTCAAATGTCCTTTATTCATATTTCTGTTTAAAACCCATAACATCCATCAGGGTGAATGCAGACGCACACAGCATACACTATTAAAGGATAGGACATTGCTGCATCCATCATTGTATCATTTAGTGCTACAAACATCCTTGTCCCTACTCAAATGCATCTACAACGCAACAGGAAGCTACTATCCTTATTCTGCTCTTGATTATTGCCTCACTTACCCATATTAAGCTCACATGATTTGTTCTGCCGTTCCCACACAGCATTTAGCTATTTGAAATTTGTTTTAGAAGCACTATTATTTACATATCAATCTCCCCATCCTCCCATGCTCCCCCACCGACCCCACCAACCTACCCCCACCCACTACCCAAGAAAGTGAGGCCCTTCACTGGAGACCACCAAAGTCCCTCACATCATTTGGGGGAGAGCCTAGGCTCTCTTACTTGTATCTGTGCTGCAATAGAATCCCTCCATAGGGAATGGGCTCCCAAAGTCCATTTGTACTCTAGGGATAAACACTGGCTTCACTGTTAGTGGTCCCATAGACTGCCTTGGTGCCTGATGCCCTTCCCCTATAATGAGATTGGTGACTACCTTGGTTGCTATTCCTAGAGCCTTCATCCAGTAGCTGATCAAAGCAGAAGCAGGAACCCACAGCTAAACACTGAGCCATACTTCCGGAATCCACTTGCAAAGAGAGAGGAAGGATGAGCAAAGGAACTAAGACTGTGCTGGAGAAACCCACAAAAATAGTTGACCTGACATAGTGAGAGCACTGAGACCCTAGGTGTAAAGCTGCAGAACCATCATTGGACCGAACCAAGCCCTCTGAAAACTCTATATATTATAATCAAAGAAGAAACTGAAAGTCTTAAAAGACAATGTACAGCTGTGATGACTAAGGGATGTTATGATGTGATCACAAACAGAAGACCAAGACTAACTCAAGTAAGTTACATGTGTGTGTGTGTGTGTGCGTGTGTAAGTATATATATACATATATACCATAAGACTCAGCTATCATCTTATAAAATTGTTTTATTCTTTTTTTATAATTTGTTTTATTAGTGTTGATTGATACTTTGATTTTAATCTGTGAGTAAACATTTACAGTTAAGACATATGCTTATTTTAACAAAACACTTATATTCTATAAAGTACTTATGTTTTCATGTAATGTATAATATTGACATAGTATTTTTACAAATATGGAGCATTTTAACATAGTAGGATATGAATTCAGAGTCTGTTTTATTTCAATTATATATTATTTTGGAAAAGACAAAGTAATAATAAAATGAAATTATATAATTTGTGATCAAGAACACAAATTTGGGAAGAGTAACTAATAAGATATAAAATAGATCTGAATGAAATACGAAAATATATATTTTTTGTTTTTTGTTTTTATATAACATATATTGAATATAGAGAATACCCTATTCTTTCCTTTAACCTCTCTCAGTAAATCTTTAACTCTCTTCCATTCTCCTGCCTTCATGTCCTCTTTTTTTATCATTTTTTCTTTAAATTTTTTTTAGTTTTTTATTAATATTTTTTTTATTTTCCATTTTAAATTTAGATAAGAAACAAGGTTGCTTCACAAGTCAGTACGAGGTCCCTCTCCCTTTCCCTCCCCTCCTCCCGTGCCCTCCCCACCACCCCCCCCCGTTATCCCCTCATTCCCCCAGGGAGGGTGAGGCCCTCCATGGGGGTGTCCATAGTCTGTCATTTCATATAGGGCAGGGCCTAGACCCTTCCCCAAGAGTTCAGGGTGAGAGTGCACCTCACATTGTTCTATGGGAGTCCAGAGACCGTGTGTATACTTGGGATGGGTACTGATCTGCTGTCCAAGGCTCAATAGATTACCTAGGCCTCCTCACTGACACCCAGATTCAGGGTGTCTTGATCAGTCCCATGCTGGATTCCCAGGCTGATGCCTGGGATTCAAGAGTTAACCTTTGTCTGGTCAGCTGTTTCTGGGGTTCAACCAGCCCAGTCTTAATCCCTTTGATCATCAGTCCTCCCTCTCTGATACTGGCTTTCTTGAGTTCAGCTCAGTACTTAACCAGCCACTAAATGAAGTTTCTGTTTCCCAGACTCTCTGGCAATAGGATTGTAGGCTGGCACTCCCCAGATCTATGTCTAAAATCCATATATGAGAGAGTACATGCCATGTTTCTCTTTTTGTGACTGGGTTACCTCACTCAGGATGGTTTCTTCTAGTGTCCTCCATTTGCCTGCGAATCTCATGATTCCATTATTTTTTCTGCTGAATAGTACTCCATTGTGTAGATGTACCACATTTTCTCTATCCATTCTTCGGGTGAGGGACATCTAGGTTGCTTCCAAGTTCTGGCTATTACAAATAAAGCTGCTATGAACATAGTGGAACAGACATCTTTGTTATATGAATGGGCATCTTTTGGATATATGCCTAAGAGTGCAGTTGCTGGGTCTTGTGGTAGGTTTATTCCCATTTTTCTGAGGAATCTCCATACTGCTTTCCAAAGTGGCTGAACCAGTTGGCACTCCCACCAGCAATGGAGGAGTGTCCCCCTTTCACCACATCCTCTCCAGCATAAATTGTCATTGGTGTTTTTGATTTTAGCCATTCTGACAGGAGTGAGATGGTATCTCAGAGCTGCTTTGATTTGCATTTCCCGGATGGCTAAGGATGTTGAGCACTTTCTCAAGTGCCTCTCAGCCATTTTAGACTCCTCTATTGAAAACTCTCTATTTAGTTCTGCAGCCCACTTCTTAATTGGGTCCTTTGCTGTTTTGGAGACTTGCTTCTTGAGTTCTTTGTAAATTTTGGAGATCAACCCTCTGTCAGATGTGGGATTAGTGAATATTTTTCCCATTCTGTGGGCTGCCTTTTTGTCTTGCTGACTGTGTCCTTTGCCTTACAGAAGCTTCTCAGTTTCAGTAGGTCCCATTTATTAATTGTTGATCTCACTGTCTGTGCTACTGGTGTTATGTTCAGGAAGCTGTCTCCTGTACCAATTCGTTCAAGGGTACCACCCACTTTCTCTTCTAAGAGGTTCAGTGTGGCTGGATTTATGTTGAGGTCTTTGATCCATTTGGACTTAAGTTTTGTGCATGGCGATAAACATGGATCGATCCGCATTTTTCTACATGCCAGTCTCCAATTATGCCAGCACCATTTGTTGAAGATGCTTTCTTTATTCCATTGTATATTTTTAGCTTCTTTGTCAAAGATCAGATGTTCGTACGTGTGTGGGTTAATACCCGGATTTTCAATTTGATTCCATTGGTCTGCCTGTCTATTTTTGTGCCAATACCAAGCTGTTTTCAGGACTATAGCTCTATAATAGAGCTTGAGGTCAGGGATAGTGATGCCTCCGGACGTTGCCTTGTTGAACAGGGTTGTTTTGGCTATCCTGGGTCTTTTGTTTTTCCATACAAAATTGATTATTGTTCTTTCAAGGTCTGTGAAGAATTGTGCTGGGATTTTAATGGGGATAGCATTGAATCTGTAGATTGCTTTTGGCAGGATTGCCATTTTTACTACATTGATCCTACCTATCCAAGAGCATGGGAGATCTTTCCATTTTCTGAGGGCTTCTTTAATTTCTCTCTTTAAAGATTCAAAGTTCTTATGATACAGGTCTTTCACTTGTTTGGTTAGCGTTACCCCAAGGTATTTTATGTTGTTTGTGGCAATTGTAAAGGGTGATGTTTCTCTGATTTCTCTTTCAGCCCTTTTATCATCTGTATATAGTAGGGCTACTGACTTTCTTGAGTTGATCTTGTAACCTGCCACTTTGCTGAAGGTGTTAATCAGCTGTAAGAGTTCCCTGGTAGAGTTCTTTGGGTCATTGATGTAAACTATCATATCGTCTGCAAACAGTGAAAGTTTGACTTCTTCCTTCCCAATTTGTATCCCCTTGATCCCCCTTTGTTGTCGTATGGCTATAGCTAGAACTTCAAGTACCATGTTGAAAAGGTATGGAGAGAGTGGACAGCCTTGTTTTGTTCCTGATTTTAGAGGAATTGCGTTGAGTTTCTGTCCATTTAGTTTGATGTTGGCTGTTGGTTTACTGTATATGGCTTTTATTATGTTTAAGTATGTCCCTGTTATCCCAGATCTCTCCAAGACCTTTATCATGAAGGGGTGTTGGATTTTGTCAAAGGCTTTTTCAGCATCTAGTGAGATGATCATGTGATTTTTGTTTTTCAGCTTGTTTATATGGTGGATTACGTTGATGGATTTTCGTATGTTGAACCATCCCTGCATCCCTGGGATGAAACCTACTTGATCGTGGTGAATGATTGTTTTGATGTGTTCTTGGATCCGATTTGCCAGTATTTTATTGAGTATTTTTGCATCAATGTTCATGAGGGATATTGGTCTGAAGTTCTCTTTCTTGGTTGTATCTTTGTGTGGCTTGGGGATCAAGGTTATTGAAGCCTCATAGAAAGAGTTTGGCAAAGACCCTTCTGCTTCTATTGTGTGGAACACTTTGAGAAGAATTGGTATAAGCTGTTCTTTGAATTTGTGGTAGAATTCTGCACTGAGGCCATCTGGACCTGGACTTTTTTTGGTTGGGAGACTTTTGATGACAGCTTCTATTTCCATAGGGGTTATAGGTCTATTTAAATTGCTTATCTGTTCTTGATTTAGTTTTGGCAAATGATTGCTGTCCAGGAAGTCATCCATTTCCTTTAAATTTTCGAATCTGTGGAGTACAGGTTTTCAAAGTATGACCTAATGATTCTCTGGATTTCCTCAGAGTCTGTTGTTATGTCCCCCTTTTCATTTCTGATTTTGTTAATTTGCGTGTTCACTCTCTGCTGTTTGGTAAGTTTGGACAAAGGTTTGTCTATCTTGTTGATTTTCTCAAAGAACCAACTCTTCGTTGCATTGATTCTTTGTATAGTTTTCCTGGTTTCTACTTTGTTGATTTCAGCCCTCAATTTGATTATTTCCTGGCGTCTACTCCTCCTGGGGGAGTTTGCTTCTTTGTGTTCTAGAGCTTTTAGCTGTGATGTTAATTCTCTGGTATAACTGTTTTCCTGTTTCTTCATGTGAGCACTTAGTGCTATGAACTTCCCCGTAGCACTGCTTTCAAAGTGTCCCATAGGTTTGGGTATGTTGTGTCTTCATTCTCATTGAATTCGAGGAAGTCTTTAATTTCTTTTTTATTTCCTCTTTGACCCAGGGATGGTGCAGTTGAGCATTATTCAATTTCCATGAGTTTGTAGGTTTTCTGCAATTTGTGTTGTTGTTGAATTCTAATTTTAAGGCATGGTGGTCTGATAAGATGCATGGAGTTATTCCAATTTTTTTGTAGCTGCTGAGGTTTGATATGTTGCCAAGTATGTGGTCGATTTTTGAGAAGGTTCCATGTGGTGGTGAGAAGAAGGTATATTCTTTTTTTATGTGGATGAAATGTTCTATAGATATCTGTTAATCCCAGTTGGGTCATTACTTCTATTAGACCCTTTACTTCTTTGTTGAGTTTCTGTCTGGTATTCTTGTCTAGTGGTGAGAGTGGTGTGTTGAAATCTCCCACTATAACTGTGTGGGGCTTTAGATGAGATTTAAGTTCTAATAATGTTTCTTTAACGAATGTGGATGCCTTTGTATTGGGGGCATAGATGTTCAGGATAGACACTTCATCTTGGTGGGTTTCACCTGTGATGAGTATGTAATGACCTCCTTCATCTCTTTTGATTGATTTTATTTTAAAGTCTAGTTTGTTAGATATTAGGATTGCTACCCCTGCTTGTTTCTTGGGTCCATTTGATTGAAAAATTTTTTCCCAACCTTTAACTCTCAAGTAATGTCTGTCTTTGAGGGTGAGGTGTGTTTCTTGTATGCAGCAGAAGGAAGGGTTCTGTCTTCGAATCCATTCTGCTAGTCTGTGTCTTTTTATGGGTGAGTTAAGGCCGTTAATATTGAGGGATATTAATGACCATTGATTGCTCATCCTTCTTCGATTTGCGATGGTTGTTGTTGGTGGAATTATGGGTGGAATTTCACCCCTTTGTTCTTTTGGCTGTTGGTAGAGAGGGATTCTCTAATGCTTATGTTTTTCTGGTTGTAGTTAGCTTCCTTGGGTTGGAGTTTTCCTTCCAAAATTTTCTGTAGGGCTGGGTTAGTGGACACATATTGGTTGAATCTAGTTTTGTCATGGAATATCTTGTTTTCTCCGTCTATAGTGATTGAGAGCTTTGCCGGGTATAGTAGTCTGGGCTGGCATCCATGGTCTCTTAGTGTAGGTAGAATATCTATCCAGGACCTTCTGGCTTTCAGAGTTTCCATGGAGAAATCAGGTGTAATTCTGATAGGTCTGCCTTTATATGTTACTTGACCTTTTTCCTTAGCTGCTCTTAATATTCTTTCTTTATTCTGTATGTTTGGGGTCTTGATTATTATGTGGCGAGGGGATTTTTTTTGTGGTCCACTCTATTTGGTGTTCTGTAGGCTTCTTGTACCTTCATTGGCATGTCTTTCTTAAGGTTGGGAAAGTTTTCTTCTATGATTTTGTTGAATATGCCTTCTGCCCCTTTGAGGTGGATTTCTTCTCCTTCTTCTATACCTATTATTCTTAGGTTTGGTCTTTTCATGGTGTCCCATAATTCCTGGATGTTTTGTGTTAAGGATTTGTTGGATTTAAGGTTTTCTTTGGTTGATAAATCCATTTCTCCTAATGTATCTTCAACACTTGAGATTCTCTCTTCCATCTCTTCTATTCTGTTGGTAATGCTTGTATTGGTAGTGCCTGACTGTTTGTCCAGCTTTTCTATTTTCTGCCTTTCTTCAGATTGTGTTTTTTTAGTGACTCTATTTCAGTTTTCAACCCTTGCAGCGTTTGCATTGCTTCTTGCAATTTTCTGTTTATCTGTTTGTCCGTTTGTTGCCTTTTATGAATTTTTTGATTTGTTCTTTCTTCCATTTCTTGCATTTTTTGGTTTGCTTTTTGTTCCATTTCTTGGATTTCGTGCTTTGTTTCTTCTTCCATTTCCTGCCTTTTTTGGTTTGTTTCTTCCTCCATTTTTTTCATTTTTTGCTTTGTTTTTTCTACCATTTCTTGCATTTTTTGCTTTGTTTCTTCTTCCATTTCCTGCCTTATTTGGTATGTTTCTTCTTCTAATTCTTGCATTTTTTGCTTTGCTTTTTCTTCCATTTCTTGCATTTTTTGCTTCATTTCTTCTTCCATTTTGTGCCTTTTTTGGTTTGTTTTTTCTTCCAATTCTTGCATTTTTTGGTTTGTTTTTTCTTCCATTTCTTGCATTTTTTGGTTTGTTTTTTCTTCCATTTCTTTGAGGGATTTTCCAATATCCTCTTTTAGGGCCTCTATCATTTTCATGAAAGTGCTTTTAAGGTCGTTCTCTTCTGCTTCCTTCGCGTTGGAATATTGGGGTCTTGCTGGTGTGGAGTCTCTAGAATCTGGCAGTGTCATATTTGTTTTTCTGTTGCTGACTGTGTTTTTGTATTGTCTCTTTCCCATCTCTTCTTCTAGTGGGTGCAGAAAGAGCCCCTTCCTGGTCTGGGGACCAGAGTTCCCTTTTGGTGGGTGCTAGTAAGTCCAGTAATCTGGTGGTTCTTCTATGCCTTGTCCAAATGCTGGTCCATGGGTAGAGAAGAAGAACAGGAATCTGGGGCGCTTAGCCTCCTACCTGGTCCCCTGGACCCTATGCTGGGTCCTGTTGTACCTGATCCGGAACTGCTACTCCCCTGGTCTCCCTGGCTCCTGTAGTTTCCTGGTCTCTTTGGTGGGAGAGAAGATCTGGAGTCTGGGGTGCTTGGCTCCCGCCGGGATTGGGAGCTCTGTGCAGTTCCCAGGCGATCTGCAGGCTCTGGAACACAGGCCGGGAAGCTGGCCTGTTTACCTGATGCTCCCACCGGGATTGGGAGCTCTGTGCAGTTCCCAGGCGATCTGCAGGCTCTGGAACACAGGCCGGGAAGCTGGCCTGTTTACCTGATGATGCCAGAGGGACAGCTACTTCCCTGTGCTCCCAGCCTTCTCTAGTTTCCTGGACTCGTTGGTGGGAGAGAAGATCTGGAGTCTGGGGTGCTTGGCTCCCACCGGGATTGGGAGCTCTGTGCAGTTCCCAGGCGATCTGCAGGCTCTGGAACACAGGCCGGGAAGCTGGCCTGTTTACCTGATGCTCCCGCCGGGATTGGGAGCTCTGTGCAGTTCCCAGGCGATCTGCAGGCTCTTAAAATTGTTTTATTCTTATAGAAGAAGAATCAAAATATTTTGAACAGGGTTGGAGACTAGAAATAATACAAATCAAAAGCCTGAGATTGTTTGAGAAAGCACTGTTTTAAGGAACCAGGAGGTTTATTAACCCCAAAGGAAGAAATATTTGCTCATTACTGATCTGCTAATGTATTATTTGGCTGAAGTACATATTATCTCTCTAGGATTTTATCTACTGTCTCTACCTCAACAACCCAGAATATAAATAATCTTCTAGAACTCTTGTTGTCTATTGAAGGACCTTTATCACAGGGGTCACTTAGATTATAGACTTCCCCAACATCCTCCTGGGCCCTACCACAGTTGCAGTCCCCAAATAACACACAAGACACTGTAATAATTATGAAGCTGTTGACTGTTTGCTTAGTTTCTTACTGGCTATCTCTGACTTAACCCATAATTGTTAATCTAAGTATTTCTCTTACCAGAAAAAAGGACTGGACCTCTTTTTCCTCTGGAAGCTACATGGTGTGTCTGTCTGTGTCTCTCTTTCCCCGAATTCTCCTCAACTCCTAGTCCCACCTATCTTGCTTTCCTATTGGCCAACAGTGCTTTATTGACATATACACAAGACTTCCCCATCAGGTCACTTAAGACCATCAGAACACAGAGACACTAATGTTATGATACATAAAAGTTGCAAAATTACAGTTATAATGAAGAAACAAAATGATTTCATGGTTGAGTTCACCAGAAGAGGAAGAATAGTATTAATGGGTTGCAAAATCAACTGGCTGAGAATGACTGCTCTAGAATGAGATGAGGATATTTCGGACCTTGTAACACTGTTGAAGAAAGGAACTATTCCACCTTGATCAGATTCAACAAGAAAAAGACAACCATGAAAATAACAATACACAATTCCTGACAGATCTTGGGAAAGCAGAAATAGTAGTGGAAAGAACGAAGTTATTATGGGACTGCCATATATCTATGAATGAGATTGATTTACATGTCATCTTAATATAAATTCTTGTTCAGAAATAGAGATGGGACATTTTTATCTGTGGAAAAAATGAACTAGTAAATCCAGATCAAGTTTAGTCTAGGTCATAATTTCTTTGAAAGTGATACAATATTTATTATGTACCTATAAGAGGACAAAGAATAGAAACAGATATGGCATATTTCCCAAATTCTGAGTAACTGAGCATAGACCATACATCAAAAGTCTGACAGATATGAGGTGAATATAGAACAGCAATATTTTGGAGCATTACCTAATCAAGAGAGAAGGCCTGATTTATGATGACATTGGATGAAAGACAAGAAATAAATATCAATGTTTGACTTAAATATATTACTTTGATTTTTAACTAAAGGTAAATAATCATTCTTCAACAATTAAATTAAAGGTACAAGAACAGCAGCTACTACTTAGTTTTAGTGAACATGGTAAAGAAAATACTGATGATGAGACAATTGAATGATGTAATCATCAAAGATTACTAGAGATTACTGGTTATTTCAAGAATGGATGAATGATAAGGCACTTGTGTTCATACTAGCAGAAGAGATGTGTAGTTTGAATGACTTTTCTTTTGCAAATGTAAAAGTCAGCAAAAAAAAGTTGACCTGAGTAAAAGGGGAAAAAGAGAGTGAAGTTTTTATAGAAATAGAATATAGATAAAATGTTCTAATCAAGGCATTTAGACTTGTGAGGAGAAAAAGCTAAAGTGGTAAGGAGAAAAGTGTTGAAAGGAGAAATACAAAAGAAAACTTGTTATTCTAGCAGAAATTATCAGAAAGAAATGTTTCATCTCCTCAACAAAGGCCCAACATGATATGTACATGGTGTAGGTGTTATGAGCATAACCAAAGGAAGAAACACTAGAGCTTATTTTGAACTATCCAATTGTTAAGGAAGTCCCAGGGTGAGTCATGTGAGTGTGTGCACTTGCGTGTGTGTGTGTGTGTGTGTGTGTGTGTGTGTGTGTGTATGTGTGTGCTCGTGCCTGTGCTTGGGGGTTGGGTGGGCACATGCCTATGAGAGAGAAGAAAAAATGAGCCTTCTTAGTATCAATAAATATAGGCCTGTGCAATGGGGCATGATGACCATCTGTGTTTTGTACTATTGTTCGTATGTTTTGTAAAGAATTTGAGAATTATTTCTTACTTCAGCCTTGAAAACACCAATTAGCATTAGTTTCAGGCTTCAGTTATAATTTACAAGGTCTCATATTACCTCAATGTGGTTTTACCCAAATATATTGGCTCATGGGTCAATTAATTGAAGTTTCAAAGTCATTAGTATTGCCAAATAATAAAGAAATCAGTGATTAATTGGAATAATTTTAACAAACATATACTTTAAATAATACTGTAACTCCATATAATCATTTTGCATGTGTTATAGTTCTTCTAATGTTCAAGTAAAGATTATCAAAGTGAGATTATATTAAATCAAGAATTCTCAAAATATATTTTTAAATATCTTAGAGTATTGGATATACTCATTTTTCATTTTAATGTAAAATATTTCAAAACATCCTATGTATGTTTCAGCAAGTATATTTAGTTGTGAAGGACTAAATAAATATTGAGAAACTCTCAAATATTTAAAGAAATCCTTGCCTTGGATATTTGGCTTGGGATAAACAGGAGAGATTTTATTTTCTTAAGTCAAGTCCATCTGTTGTTAATATGATGAGAAAATATAAGAATGCTTCAAATTCAACTTCTAATGACTTTTCTCCTCCAACAGAAATGTCAGGTTCATTATTTTTGGATGAATATACTCTCTTAGGTGCTTTTACTAGTGAGAAAATAAATGCTATTTTCATGGATATTATTGTACCCAAGTCTGAATAAACCACTTACCCAGTCATTAAAACTTTATTGATCAGAAGGAAAAATTCACAAAACCCCCAAAAAAAGAATTGGCAAAAGATACATAATAACATAAATAAATTATCTATTAGATAAAAATTACTTTATTGTATAGAGTGACTTCATATTTAATGAATTGATGACTGCATCCTGAAGTTAGTGGTCTCAATTTGTTTTTGTTCTTGAGATATGAAAATAATTGAGCTTCATCTGAAGTATTTATAAAGACAGACCATTGTAGTAGAACAGGATCCCAAGACATCAAATTTTTTATAGTAGCCACATTGATCATGGTTATCAGTCTCTGACATGATTTTGGCCTGTGTTCAGTCTCCTAGCACCTAAGCATATTTATTGAAATTCCTGTGCTAAGTAAATAAGTATCCTTTCACACGTTATTGTAGTTCAGTTTACCATCAACCTTCCTATGTAATGCATGACTACATAATATTTATTTGCTAAATATGTAGCTAATAGTTGAATAATGCATTTATTTCAACCTTTGTATAAATGTATATATGTTCTATTAAATCTACCTTATTATTTGTATGGCATTTCTTCTTGATGACTCTAGTGCATTTTGTGTCACAATTTTGCGTCAAAATTTTGTGTCAAATGCACAAGGCTGAATTGTATGTCATTTGCCTAAATAGATGACTTTTAATAATAAGTTTGTACGTAACCTGTTTCATATTAAAATTCAAACTATACCTTTTTTCAGATTCTACCTTTCAAATCAATGTCCATGTCTATGCTTGAATTTATCCACTTATCAGATTTTTTACTGTCCTTGTTAGTTTTTATTGCCAGCTTGACAGACACTAAAGTCACTTTTGAAGACTAAACACAGTTGACAAATGTTGTCTAAGAAGTTGTCCAGTGTTCAGGTCTGTCAAAAAATATTGATTGATGGATGGTTTATGATGTCTCAGTCCACTGTGGATGGCACCATATTTAGCACATGGACAGTGTATATACCAGAAAGATAACTAAGCATGAGCCAGGCAACTCAGTCAACAAGAATTCCTATGTGGTTTCTGCCTTTAAGTCCTGCCTTAAACTCCTGTCCTGAGCTCTTCTCAGAGTGATTATGACTAAGCAGTAAGAGATAAAATAAACCCTTTCCTCCCTAGTTATTTCAGTCCTGGTGTTTACTATAGCAAATGAAAACATACTAGGACACTTATGTCAAGACATTACTATCCTTCAATTTGCATGTGTGCCTGATGTCTCCTTTCATTTCTACTACAATTTCACTGTTTATATTTTGCTTTAGCTAGGTAGATATTTCATTTGCAGAATAAATACATCCAGTTAGAGTAGTTAAGAAAGAATTATTTTCTTACACATATAGGTCACTGAATTTTCAGTGGAACCAACACATTAGAGGAATTGATACCAGAGAACTGGGGCTACAAATTGAGATGGTTCAATCCTAACCACAAGTGCTGTTCTGAAATCACCTTGTCTGTGAACTATTACAAATAAAATGTCACCCAAAATCAACCCAAGTGATCTCACTATGTGCATTGATTAGAGAAACTTGAATCTCATCTATAACTCATGCTTTCATAGAATCCCAGTAATATATTATTTATGTTTCCAACAAAGGCAATCAAGGAAGCTACTTTGTTAGAATGAGTGTTGCATAAATAATTTCACAACACATATCATATATTGTAACTAAAAATCAGATCTATAAAATTGAAACAACTATTTTTTGTCAAAATATCTTAATCATTGTGTAAGAACAAAAATCTGTCATTGATAGTTTGTATCATTTGGTTCTTCAAAAATGGTCTGTAGTTTACGCCTGGTATAGCAATTGTATTTTATCATGAATATGTATTGGTCTATATTTGGTATAATCATATGTAAGCATGAAAGAGTTTTTAAAGAAATGGAAAGTCATTTGAAATGCTTGCTTATTTGATGTCCATTTTATTAATAATTGTGGGATAATGAAAATTCTCATTTGTATATTCAAGAGCCCAGACTTAAGTGCATAAATAGCTAAGAATTATTAAGGAATTTTGAATGAAGATAGAAATGGCTCTAATATCACAGAAAATATTTGGAAACAACTACCCTAAAATAAAATCTCAGTTCTGGAGGTGGATGCAAGCTTTGAAGGGAGAAAAATTGTTGTGAGTGGATGAAGACTTAATTGTGTCACCGTCTGACTTAAATAGTCTTTGATGAGGTGCCTGACTCGTCAACACAGCAATGACCCCCAATACGCATTAGTGACTGAGTTAGTCTGCTCACTCTGGTCATGTCATCTGCTTTGTGACTTCATACTTAGTGTTCCTCCCGGCAATGATACCTACACATAGTTTCCTCTTGATTTCTTTACTAAGAGGCAATCCAGAAAGCCCTCTGCTTTATAAGTCTTCACTCTCTGAAGCAGAGAGACAACGTCTTGTACTATGTGAACTATTCCTCCTTCTTTTCTAAGTAAAATACACTTACCATTTATGCATGGTAAAATTTTATTTTATGCTTGACTATGATTTGCTGAACTGTGAAGGCTTTATCTTTACTTCTGCAAGATGTATCGAAGTCATATGAATTGATGTAGAGCCATAAGAATTTGACTAGGATGCAAGGAAGACTTCAAAAACCTGAGATTATGTTAGAATATTCTCCATGTTTCCAATTCCCAAGTTGTAAGGGCGAAAAAATCTGTCATTGATATGTTTGTATCCTTTGTTTCCCCAAAATTGCTCTGTAGTTTATGCATGGTATTCAAAAATAAATTGCATCTTATCATGAAAATATATTGGACTACACCTGTGTCTAAGTATGGAATATTGATAGAAAACACACAAAATGGGATGATAAATTTTTAAGGTAGCTGGTGTGAAAATACCCACAGTTTAATCATTGAATAATTAGTAAATGGAAATAAATTTTTATTTAAATATTTTTTTTCAAATTTTACCAGTTTGAGTTGCAAAAATATGCTTTTCCTTCCTTTCAATAAAATAATGTGTGATGATGTCTTGGGTCACATTTAACTGCTGTCATTTTCTCAAACTCAGAGCTCTTGTCTGCAGCCACATTCCCCGTTAATCAAGTCAGACTTTTCCAATTGTTAAGACCAACTCAAAATGACAATGTTCATGCCTGTATTTTGGGCTAGTCACCCAGGAAGTTCTTTATATAACTACCTTCAACAACACATTTTGTCACTACACAGTCACATGTTTTCTTTCTTTGATCATAAACTTTAGTATTATATATGTTTTATTGAATATGTAACTCCTTTAAAATGTCAGTATGTCTTGTCAAATATTACAGTTTAGCTCCTGTGGACTTTCAGATAAATGTACAGGATATTGTTCTTTATAAGTAATATTTGTTTTTTGAATTTAGAAAATTGACCTGAGAGTTTTCTTAGAAAAAATAAATAACAGTAAGAACAGACAGCTTGCTTTACTTTCTTATAAGAAAATAATGAATGAACTGTTGGATGAGAACATATGAGGGGTTTGAGGTTGGGCAGGCTGTGTGTGCAGTGGAATCATGAATTGGTTGCTATATAGGCACTGAGAAAAATTCTACAGCCTCTGTCTTTTATATTTTCTGAAATGAAGAAAACTAGATAATATGATTCCCATTGAATATCTGTAAAGTTGGTAACAACCTATGTGACAAGGATAGGATGCCAACACTATAAATAATAAGATTAATGCAAACCGTTGAAAAGAAGGAAGATTTAGAAGTTGCACCTTACTGTTAGAATACATTAAACCAAATATCTAGTTCTATAAAACAATACTACTAATTTCAAATAGGTATAATAAATTGTTCAACATTTTATCTGTGATTAAAGCATTAAAATACATATTCACCAGTCACTACAATGTACCTAACATGTATGTGTTACATTTAGATTAATGAGACATGGAGTATGATTAATAAATTTACATGACATATAACAGACATATATTAAAAATACTGTTTCCAATTTGATAAATGGTGATTAACACACATCATGATGATAAGAGTTAATTTTTAGTGAGGTAAGGAGGGATGTTATTGGACACCAGGACTGTAAAACACAAAATGCTATGCATGGTGTTTCATCCACTCCAATGTATTTAATCCTTGCAACACAAGTTAGGTAGCAATACTTCACTATATATGTGAGAGAAAAGCATCTCCACAGACTGGGAGTTATCTCTGACAATTAGAAGCATGAACTCCCTTCTGTCAGTTAAAATACTATGTTAACTTGTTTCTAAAGTCCTTTCTGTTTTCTAATCTATATGATCTAGGAGAATATATGCATATTGTTTGATCCTGTATTCTACTATGGCTGGGGTGAGATACATATCTGATTCCTGCTTAGGAACTTGAGAAAATCCAGCATATTTGCATTTAGCATCTCATTGACCACTTCAGTTAGTTCCTTTGATTCTCAAAGTGAGGAAATTATATAAAGTCAAATAAAATGAACTTCTGATTTCTGTTACATCCCATCAAATACCACTTTTGAAACCAAAGTGACTGTTATTTGTGTATTACATTATTTTTAAATAA